ATATGGCTGCCGCCGCCGCCGCCGCGCACTGAGGCCCCGCCGCGCAGCCAGGCCGGGATGCCCCGGGGGGGGCCCGGGCCGCCGCCGGAGCCATGGAGGAGGAGGGCAAGAAGGGCAAGAAGGTGAGAGCGGCGGCACCGCGGGGCCCCTCCGGGGGTCGCTCAACCCCGGCGCGGGGCGTTCCCGAACGCGGGCGTGGGACCTGCGGGACCCCCGGCCCGGATCCCCCTTCCCGGGGGTTTCCCGGATCCCCCTTCCCGGGGGTCTGCCCGGATCCCTCCCCCTCAAAAAAAAAAATCCTTCTCCCGATGTGAATGGGGGTGTTGAGAAGATCATTAATTGATGGAGTTATTATTTATGAGGCTCTTAATTTATGGGTTTGTTAACTTACTTAAATCAACTCTTTACGTGAATTAATCTCATTTCTATACCGGTTCATTTATACCTTTATACATTTGTACTTCCTCGTGTCTCTGGGTCTCAGCAGCTGCCCCTGTTCCCACCTTGCCCTAATTTCCCTCATTTCAGCCCATTTCTGGGTCCTGCGGGGGAGGTTCAGCCAGAGCTGCTCCACAATCCTGGAGCAGGGGGGGCTTTGATCCTGTAATTTTGGGGAGAAATCAGATATTTGGGGGGGGGCTGCACTCCCAGGGATCCCGGGAAGGGGCAGCAGGTTCCCGCTGAGCCTCTGCCTGGGACTGAGCAAAACATTCCCAGAGCAAGGGAAAATGGATGGATTTCTTGGGGCACTGCCATCCAGGCTTCCCATGGAGCCAGACCTGGGAATTCAACCCCCCCGGTGTCACCTGGTGCCGTAGGGGGAGGAATTACCCTCCTGGAGACGGGATGCTCCTGCCTTTGGGAAGGACTTGGCTCCCAAGGCTTCAGGTGGTGTGGGCTGACCCCAGGTGTGGGTCCCACCTCTTCCTTGGGATGTCCCAGTTTGGAGTCTGGATCCTCCTCTTAAGTGCTTGGATGTGTTCAGCTGATCCCCCCCACCGCTCTCCATCCCCCCTGGATGATCCCACCTCTCCTCTTTCTGATCCCTAAATCCTCCTCACAGCCCCTTCCCAGGGCTGATCCCACATTTTCCAGTCCCTTCTGTCCAGACCTGGCTGCCCCAGTCTGTTTCCCTCCTGCTTTGTGGGTGATCCCAGTGGATGAGGAGGATTCCCAGGGCTGATCCCACATTTCCCAGTCCCTCCTGCACTGGTAATCTCAGACCTGTCTGTTCCTGTCCTGATCCCAATGGATCGTGAGCTCCCTGAGCCCTTCCAGAGCTGTGGCATCTCCTGGGCCGATTCCTGGGTTTATGGAGCTTCCTTGGAGCCAGTTTTCCATGGTTTTGGTGGTGGATCACCATTAAACCTGGATCATTCAGCTGTGGAGTCGGGGGGATCCATCCCTGTGTCCAGCTGCCGTTCCAGCTGCAGGGAAAACTCTTCCCCCTGTTTGTTTTCCACCCTGTGGATCATTCCAGCAGCGTTCTGGGCTGAAGTGAGGGCACTGAGTTCCTCAGGTGCTGATCCAAAGGGAGGTCGGGGCAGGTTTGGGATGAGCAGGAAAGTCCCAGCTCAGCTTTGGGTAAAGCCTGAACTGGTTTGAACTGGGGGCCTGGAATTCCTGCCAGGAGCTGGTGTTCCCAGGATCTCCCTGGTGGTTATCCCAGCAGGAATGAGCTGTTTCCTGGGCAGGTTTGGGATTAACTCCCATTTCCCATCCGGAATTCCCACAGGCCTGCCCAGGGCTGGGAGTGGGTGGAGTCACACCTGGAGCCCCAGGTGAGGAGGGATGTTCCCAGCCTGGTTATTCCTGGGAAGAGGAGAGGGTGGAGGTGGATTTTCTGGGAATGATTTGCCTGTCAGGAGGATTTTCCTGCTGGTCTGACTCCGGAATCCGTCCGACGGCTGCAGGTGATCCGGAGCTTGCACGATGTCCCTGAAGGAATTCTCTGTTAGCATGAAATTCCTGACTTTTCCAGCTTGGGAATGCCCTGGACGGATCCAGCCCCATGCTCTGGGCTGATCCCACAGCAGGGCAGGGGGGATTCTGCCCCTCTGCCCCCTCAGCTGAGACCCCCCTGCAGAGCTGCTCCAACCCT